AAAGCCAGAAATGAAAGAGGAAGCCTTTGTTCTGTGTATTTGTGTGTCATTGTTATTTTACTGTATTAAAGACATTGAATCTGTTTATCTGTGTATGTTGCAATTCACTCTGAGTCCCCTCGGGGAGATAGAGCAGAATATAAATAGTTACTGTTGTTGTTATTGGTTGGGTGGGGAGCCCCCGGTGGCGCAGTGGGTTAAACCCCTGAGCTGGCAGGACTGAAGACCCGACAGGTCGCAGGTTCAAATTCGGGTAGAGGCGGATGAGCTCCCTCTATCAGTTCCAGCTCCCAATTGTAGGGACATGAGAGAAGCCTCCCACAAGGATGATAAAAACATCAAAAACATCCTGGCGTCCCCTGGGCAACGTCCTTGCAGACAGCCAATTCTCTCACACCAGAAGCGGCTTACAGTTTCTCAAGTCGCTCCTGACACGACAAAAAAAAAAGTTTGGGTGTAATCTTTCTGAAATCATTTGGTTGTTTATTCTCAAATGGCAGGTGATTGGACTAGACTACCCTTGAAGTCCTGTCCAACTATTACCTTTATATATGGCCTAATAAAGATGAAGAAAATGTAGGTTCCAGCCCATGCTACACTTTTTTCTGATTGTAACCACAAAAAAGATGAACAGAAGCTTTTTGTCAGATTATGACTTATCAGTGGGAAAAACTATACAAACTGCCAAATATGTATTTTAGCTCTGCAGACATATGTTTTGAAACTATATATGGCAAATATCAAGGTGGGTGGGTATGAAGTGATCAGAGCTGAAATCAAAACACATAAAACAAATAGGATCTAAATCTTTCCTCCCATACAGCAGTTCCAAAAACATTTGCGTTCCTGCAATGTAGAGTGCAGTGGTGTAGATGAGGGAGTCATTCCAGATGAGTACGTTATCAACCTCCTTTTATTACCCCAGCTCATTCGAGGAATTTTAGAGAAGGTCCAGATGGCAAGATCATCTTCCATGGAGAACTCTATTCTGTTTTCCTACCACTTCTTCTGTCTTTTCTTCTTTCCATTACAAAAAAAATCCTAGCATGTTCAGAACAGCTGCACCACATCTTTTGAATGGTAGCACCAGGAGCCTGTTATCTGGAGGCAAGCTCTGTTGATGTGTGAGCAAACACGCTCACACGCACACACAACCCTGCCCTAAATAAATAATTAATAGCCAGTACATACATTCATACACAATCTTGATTCTAGACCAATTAGTGCTGAATAACTCACACGTATTTATGATGCATACAGCTCTGCATTCATCCATCTCATGGAAGGGAGAACACGCATACTTGGACTCTCGTCTGTGACAAGCACAACAGGATGATTAAAGGGACAATTAATTGCTAATGATGTTGGAGAGGGAGGCAAATTAGTCAGCTGCAACAGAATTTTATGGCATCTTAAAAATTAGGAAGCCTCAATGGCAAGGGCCTTCCAGATGTTGTTTGATAACAACAGTGCTAGCCATCATAACCAATGGGGAAGAATGCTGGGAGCCTCAGTTTCACCATTTGGAGAATTGCATGATGCCCCCTCATGACACCTCCTGGTTTTCCCTAATGGTTATGAATATCCATTTCCCAAGGTTGGAACCAACCCCAACATTGCTTCCATCTGCCCCCCTTCATRGTCATTAGATTGGGGTTGACTATATACCAGGAATGGACCAACTTGGGCCCTCCAGGTGTTTTTGACTTCAACCCCAGGACCTTTCGTTACCCCCTCAGACACTTAAGTGGCTAGGGCAGTATTTCTCAACCTGGGGGGGGGGTTGCAAGTGGGTGTCAGAGGGGTCACCAAAGACCATCAGAAAACACAGTATTTTCTGTTGGTCATGGAGGTTCTGTGTGGGAAGTTTGGCCCAATTTTATCATTGGTGGGGTTCAAAATGTCCTTTGATTGTAGGTGAATTATAAATCCCARMAACWACAACTCCAAAAKGTCAAGGTCTATTTTTCCCCAAACTSCAMCAGTGTTYACATTTRGGYAKAYTRAGTATTYGTGCCAAGTTTGGTCCAGATCCATCATTGTTTGAKYCCACWGTGCTCTCTGGATGTAGGTGAACTACAACTCCAAAACTCAAGGTCAATGCCCAACAAACCCTTCCAGTATTTTCTGTTGCTCGTGGGAGTTCTGTGTGCCAAGGTTAGTTCAATTCCATCGTTGGTGGAGTTCAGAGCTCTTTGAATGTAGGTGAACTATAAATCACAGCAACTACAACTCCCAAATGACTAAATCAATCCCCCCCAACCCCACCAGTATTCAAATTTGGGTGTATGGGGTATTTGTGCCAAATTTGGTCCAGTGACTGAAAATACATCCTGCATCTCAGATATTTACATTACAATTCATAACAGTAGCAAAATTACAGTTATTAAGTAGCAACAAAAATAATGTTATGGCTGGGGGTCAACACAACATGAGAAACTGTATTAAGGGGTTCAAGATTAGGAAGGTTGAGATCCATTGGGCTAGTGGGAAAAGGAAAGGGCCTGAGGCTGTTCAGAATGGTGGGAGTTGAAGTCCAAAACACCTGGAAGGGCCCAAGTTGGTCCATGCCTGGTATATAAATACACAGACCACCGCCCCTCCCCAAAAGAGTAAGCGAGCCCTTCCTCCTCTCATAAGAAAGTGCAGTATGGGCAGGTTCAAGAAGGGGGAGAAGGGGGGTGTGCCTTGGCAGAAACAGGTTTCGTGTTTCTCCTCCTCCTCCTCCTCCTCCTCCTCCTCCTCATCCCCGGCCCCTCCCTGGGAACAAAGGAGGCAGAGAGGGCGAAGGAGGGGACCAAGCCAACCTTTCAGAGGGGAAAGAAAGGGGGCTCCCCCTTCCTCCTCTTTGGTTCCGCCAAATGGGAGAGGGCCAGAGTGGAGGACGAGACCATAACAAAAAAAACGGGGGAGGGGTTTCTGTAAAGGTGCCTTTTCTCCCCTCAAGAGAGGCGAGTGAGTGAGGAAGGAGCCAAAGTCTGGCCAGAAAGGACCACTTCGCCAGGACTTTGAGCTCCTGCTCCAACACAAACCTCCTCAATTTATATTCAGGACAGGAGAGAAGGCAGAGGGGCGAAAGTGTGGCCAGAAAGGGGGCTTTATGGCCATCTTCTTTCCCCTCAGCTCTCCCTCGTGTTTTGAAGGGAGTCGTGAGGCGCTCCCAAACCCTGGAGGAAAAGTTCCATTCAAACCAAACATGTGGCCGAATGAGGGAAGAAAGAAAAGGCGAATGAATGAGAAGGAGAAAGAGAGCTCCAGGGAAAGAAACTCAGGAAGGACAATGTGTTGTTGAAGTCTTTCAAGGGGTTGTTGTGAGTTTTTCTGAAGTGGATGACTATGTTCCAGAAGCATTCTCTCCTGACGTTACGCCTGCATCTCTGGCAGGCATCCTCAGAGGTTGTGAGGTCAGACCAGCCAGGCTTTGAAGCTGTAGGGCCATTCAATGCTAATCAAAGTGGCCAACTGTAACATTCACACTCAAACACAGGGGAACTCCAAACAAGAAACAACCAGGGCCAACTAATCACCTCTCAAGAAAGGATTCCCCCAGGCACTAAGCCACACCTAAAAACTGTCAGGCCATCAAATGCTAATCAAGGTGGCCAGCTGCAACATTCACACTTGCCTCCTCCAACAGACAAGAGGTCTTTCTCCCACCCTGGACATTATTCCACAAATATATAAACCCCACTTGCCTAGTTTCCAACGGACCTCACAACCTCTGAGGATGCCTGCCATAGATGTGGGTGAAACGTCAGGAGAGAATGCTTCTGGAACATACCCATACAGCCTGGAAAACTCACAACAACTCAGGCAGGACTGCTAGGGAGACAAAAACTCCACACAAAGAGAGAAAAGGAGACTCGGTGCCTCTTCTTCCTCCCCAAAAGGCACCAACTGCTATTCCCAAACGCTTCTGATCATCTCCCTGATGATGATTTCTCTTCCTCCAGTGCGCACTACTTTTGAGAGACACAACCAAGACTGGGAAGACTAGAAAGGCGAGACAAAACCCTCCTGGAACTAAGCATGAAGCCAAGGTAGGATGGGGGATACACAAGCAAGGCAAAAGGACTCCCCCTCTCTCCCAAAACTCCCCAGTGCGCGCCAATGGAAGAAGGCTACTTTTGAGAGACACAACCAAGGCTGGGAAGACTTAAGAGTTCTCCCAAACAGCCCTATATCCCAGAACATCAAGGCAGAAAATCTCACAATATCTGCTTTGAACTGGGCTGAGTCCACACTCAGATAATGTGGGATTTTCTGCCTTGATACTGTGGGATATAGGGCTGTATGGAAGGGCCCTAAAAAGGACCCAAAAGGAGAGACAAAACCCTCCTTGGACTAAGATGAAGCACTCACCCTCTCTCCCAAAAGATCTCTCTCATTGTGGGGATTTCTCTGCCTCTAGTGCGCGCCTACTTTTGAGAGACACAACCAAGACTTGGAAGACGAAGTTCCCTTCCACACAGCCTTATATCCTTTAAGGCAGAAAATCCCACAATATCTGCTTTCAACTGGGCTGAGTCCACACTAGGTAATGTGGGATTTTCTGCCTTGATAGTCTGGGATGCAGAGCTGTGAGGAAGGGTCCTAGAAAGGACTCAAAAGGAGAGAGAAACCCCTCCTTGAACTAACACGAAGCACTCACCTTCTTTCCCAAAAAGCCCTCCTTGAACTAAGATGAAGCCCTCACCCTCTCCCCCTGATTGTGGGGATTTCTCTGCCTCCAGTGCGCGCCAATGGAAGGCTACTTTTGAGAGGCAACCAAGGCTGGGAAGACCCAAAAGGAGAGACACAAAACCCTCCTGGAACTAAGATGAAGCACTCACCTTCTCTCCCAAAAGATCCCCCAATTGTGGGGATTTCTCTCCCTCCAATGGAAGGCTACTTTTGAGAGACACAACCTGAAAGGAGAGACACAAAACCCTCCTGGAAGTAAGACGAAGCCAAGGTCGGGAGGGGAGACATAGGAGGCACAGGCAAGGCAAAGGACTCACCCAAAATGCCATCTCTGGAGAAAGTGTCCCAGGCGGGAAGTGGGAGCGAGGTTCCTCTGGGTCTCCAGGGCGAGGAAGTGGAAGAAAGGCGGCGAGGGAAAGGGCTCTTGTTCTCTTCCCAAAGGTTCCTGGGCGCACAAGTGAGTTGCCTCTCCGCCTTTGCGAGGGAACAACGGGGAGGAAACCCGCCTCGGCAAAGATGCGCCCTGATCGATGGATGGATGGATGGATGGGTCAGGGGAGTGGGTTTCCTCGGAAGGAGAGAGAGAGAGAGAGAGAGAGGAAAGAGGAGGAGGAGAAGGCAAAAGCCGGGAGGAGGAGGCAGGAAAGTAGTTCCTCGCCCGCGAAAGCGCCGGCCACAGGCAGAGCCGAGGGAGCCCCTGCTGCGCGAGAGCGGCTACTGCAAAAAGGGGGAGAAAGAAAAGAAAAGAAAAGAAGGAGGGAGGGAGGGAGGGAGGAAGAAAGAAAGAAAGAAAGAAAGCTGGGCGGAGGGCGGACAAAAGCGCACGCCAAGCCCCACCGCCGAGATGGAGGGGCCGCGTCCTCCTCCCCTCCCACCCTCTTTCCCTTCTCTCTTCCCTTCCCTCTTTCTGCAAAGAAAGCCCCACGCTGCAAGCCCCCTGGAGACCCGAGGAAGGGGGGGTGTGTGAGTGAAAGGGGCTGCCTGGGCTCCGCCTCCCCGGGTGCATCCACACTTCGGATTCATGCGAGTTGACAGCACTGGGATCCTGGGCTTTTGCAAGGTCTTGAGCGTTCCCTGCCCAAAGTGCCACCCGGAACAATGGCTTCAAGCAACAAAAAAGGAGATTCCACCTAAACATTAGGAATCTCCTTCCTAATGTTCAGCAGTGGAACTCTCTACCCCGGAGACTGGTAGAGGCTCCTTCTTTGGAGGCTTTTAATCAGAGGCTGGATGGCCATCGGTCGGGGGTGCTTTGAATGCAATTTTCCTGCTTCTTGGGAGAGGGTTGGACTGGATGGCCCATGAGGTCTCTTCCAACTCTATGATTCTATGAATCCCTCACCAAACTGCTCCTTTCCACAACACCTTTAGCCTTCTCTGACAATAGGGGTGGTGCCTCAGCAAAACACAACTCCCTGGGTTCCCATGGCATCCAGGCAGGCAGGGAGAGTGGTGTCAAACTGCATTAATTGTATAGTATGGATCAGGCAAGGGCCAGCTTGGGCCTCCAGGTGTTTTGGACTTCAACTCCCACAATTCATGAGGACCATGCATAAATATGTGAGGGGAAGTCTTAGGGAGGAGGGAACAGGCTTGATTTCTTCTGCCCTGCAGACACTAGGATGCAGAACAATGGCTTCAAACTATAAGAAAAGAGATTATTATTATTATTATTATTATTATTATTATTATTAAACTTTATTTGTACCCCGCTAGCATCTCCCGAAGGACTCGATGTGGCTTACAAAGGCCAAGGCCTCAACATAACAACAGCATAACAAAACAACTCAAAGCAAAATCAAAAAACATAAAGCAATAACAACAAAACATTACACCATAACACTCGAACATGAGGAACTTTATAATGGTGAGAACTGTTCAGCAGTGGAACTCTCTGCCCCGGAATATGGTGGAGGCTCCTTCTTTAGAGGCTTTTAAACAGAGGCTGGATGGCCATCTGTCAAGGGTGGTTTGAATGCAATTCCTGCTTCTTGGCAGGGGGTTGGACTGGATGGCTCATGAGGTCTCTTCCAACTCTATGATTCTATTTTTTTTGTTGTGTCAGGAGCGACTTGAGAAACTGCAAGTTGCTTCTGTTGTGAGAGAATTGGCTGTCTGCAAGGACGTTGCCCAGGGGATGCCCAAATGATTTGATGCTTTACCATCCTTGTGGGAGTCTTCTCTCATGTCCCTGCATGAGGAGCTGGAGCTGATAGAGGGAGCTCATCCGCCTCTCCCCGGATTTGAACCTGCGACCTGTCAGTCTTCAGTCCTGCTGGCACAGGGGTTTTACCCTCTGCGCCACCGGGGGCTCCTATGGTTCAATATGATTCAATATGCACAGACTTTGTTTCATACACAAAATTATTTAAAATATTCAGACTCCAGGCTTTGTTTTGATTGCCTGCTGGGACAGCTGGGTTCAGCCTTGCTGTATTTGCTGCTTCTCAGCTTTTTTAAGGATAATGATTGCTCTTTAAGGATGATGACTGCTCTTTAATTACAGTGGGTCGCCGGCTTTGGTTCCAGCCCAACTCCATGGATACCCAAATCCATAGATGTTCAAATCCATGGATGTTCAAATCTCATTATGTACAGTAGCATAATAAAATGATGTCCCTTCTATAAAATGTCAACATCATTGTGTTGTTGATCATAGCCAGAATCACTGCATTGCTATGAGTTTTCCAGGCTGTCCAGCCATGTTCCAGAAGCATTCTCTCCTGATGTTTCACCCACATCTATGGCAGGCATCCTCAGAGGTTGTGAGGTCTGTTGGAAACTAAGTAAGTGGGTTTTATATATCAGTGAAATGTCCAGGGTGGGAGAAAGAAAATCAAACTTTTTTTGGGGAGGGGGGATTATTATTATTATTATTATTATTAATTATTATTTGGTGGCAAAGAGATTTTCAAGCTGAGAATAATGGCATCTGTGGATTTGGAGGGCAGACTTTTTTGCATTATATTTTGTTCTTGTACAGCAATTTAAGGCCCCTTCTACACTTATATATAATTCAGATAAGCCAAGCAGATCATCCACATTATCTACTTTGAACTGGATTATAGACTGCCATATAATTCAAAGCAGATAATCTGGATTTTATATGGTGGTGTAGAAGGGGGCTAAGGGAGCCAGCTTGGTACACTGGTTTGAGTGTTAGACTATGACTCTGGAGACCAAGATTCAAATTCCCAGTTGGTCAAGAAAATGCACTGGTTGACCCTGGTCAAGTCATACCCTCTCAGCCCCAAAACCCCTGTGAAAGAATCACCTTTGGGCTTCTGTAAATCAGAAATTACTTGAAGGCAAACAACAGCAGTGACAGCAGCAGCAACAGTTTATACACGGAAAAACTTTGGCCCTCCAGGTGTTTTGGACTTCAACTCCCATGGTGGTAGGCTGTTAGGAATTGTAGAAGTTGAAGGCCAAAACACCTGGAGCGCCAAAGTTTGCCCATGCCTGATTTAAAACAATCTTGTGAATGACAGACCTCCCAACAGATCAGAAACACCTCTGTTTGGGTCTTCCAAATCCAGCTACTGGGGAGGCCAAACAAAAAGAGGCCATGGCCCCTGCATAAGAATCCTGCCTCTCTATTAAATATTCCTTCAGACTCCCACATTTCTAGCAAAAGAATAAGACTCTAAAAGATATTCACATCTAAATTTACTTTGTTCAAATTGCCTTGGCGACTTAGTCTACCCTTTGGATACTCAAACTATACACTATTTCGAAATCTCAACTCAAGTTTTACATTAACGCAATGCAAAAATATGGGAACTGGAGAAAATTTTCATGGGAAAGGGAAAAGTTATTGTATTGTCGAAGGCTTTCATGGCCGGAATCACTGGGTTGTTGTAGTATTTATTTATTTATCGTGTCATCAGCAACCACTGTATTATGGCCATGGTCTAGAGGCATTCTCTCCTGACGTTTCGTCTGCATCTATGGCAAGCATCCTGTGGATGCTTGCCATATATGCAGGCGAAACGTCAGAAGAGAATGCCTCTAGACCATGGCTATATAGCCCGAAAAAACTACAACCCGGAAAAGTTATTGTTTGGGAAACAATGTCCTCATGTTAATCGCTTGGAGCGACATCTCTGTCGTATTTTAGTACTCACATGGTTAGAAGGTTTGGGTCCCTTGTTCCAATTAAGTTCTTCAGTAGCCATACTGGCTGGGAAATACTGAGACTTATAGTCCAAAAATGAACTTCTCCAGGCTTTGGTCATAGGCTAGGAGCCCTGTTATGATCCTTTCCTGTACACTTCTGGAACATGCATTCTAGGGTTTGGATTGTGCTTCTAGTCCTTTGCCATCAGGAATTACTGCTGCTGGAAGTACAGCGGAAAGTATACCTTTCTCAGTAAACTTGGCCCCTCGACTGTGGAACGCCCTCCCCAAAGATATAAGATTGGCTCCCTCCCTCTTGACTTTTCGAAGAAAGGGGGAAACCTGGCTTTTTGAGCAGGCCTTCCCAAACACGGCATAGTCATACGACATAATGGAATTCTTGATGACAGAATTGAACAATGACTTGATATGAGATGCTTACGACAATGTTTTAAGGCTTGTATGGTTTTATATTTTATATATTTTATGTTGATGTTTTTAATGGTATTTTATGATTGTTATATTTTTTTAAATTGTTATGACTGTTGAGGCATCGAATTGTTGCCATTTGTAAACTGCTCCGAGTCACCTTTGGGCTGAGAGGGGTGTTATATAAATATAGTAAGTAAGTAATTTTTTCTTGTGTAGGGTTCCTTTCACACCACATAGTTAAGACACTATGATTTCCCTTTAACTGCTATGATTGCATACTATGAAATCATGGATTAGTAGTTTGGAGAGGCCTCTGTCTGAGGTCCCTTCCACAGAACGGAATAAAATTCCACATTTTCTGCTTTGAACTGGAATATATGGCAATGTGGATTCAGATAACCCAGTTCAAAGCAGATATTGTGGGATCTTTTTCTGCCTTGATATTCTGGGTTATATGGCTATGTGGAAGGGCCCTGAGAGTTGTTATTATGCCTTAGAATCATAGGATCATGCCTTCCTTAACTACAAAGTCCAGGATTTCGTGGGATGTTGCCACAGCAGATAAAGTGGAAACAATAGTGCTATAATAGTGCATGCAGTGGTTAGAGATCCTGATTAAGGAGCAAAGGCAGCAATGGCCTGGAGAAACAAACTAAAAGCTTTATTATGGGAACTTCATGCTAAGATAAGAACATTACTCAGGGTGCTTATCTAAATTTGATTAATTCTTAAGAAGACCGGTGGGGAGAGAAGAGGCAGAAAAGCATCCCCAAGAGTGTCAGTTTACATTACACAGGGGCCAGGATAGACAGACAGTGAAGGAGAACACTGTGGGCCACTCAAACTCTTTAGCCCTAATTAGGATCGGAGGCATTTTTGACTCTTCAGAGCTAAGCATTGCTACACTTCCAAAAATAATAGTGTGATCTAAAAGGGACTTGGGTCACATTGATCCCTCTTGTTTTCCATGGCACTGTTTCCCTCAGCCCCCATTCCCCAAAACCTACAATGTG